ATTTTGTAATCAATCACCGGTCATACAATAGTCTAATTAACCTTTTATAATTTCAGGTATTTTTTAGAAAAATTACTGATTTCCTAAAATCCAAAGTCTTCATGAATGATTTGAACATTACATTATATGATTCTCCAAACTCTGTCGTGTTGTTCTGGCATAATTGAGAGTGGGACTTGACTTTAAGCTGAATGGTGGATAGAAGTGGTCTAAGACATGGGATAATTACAATTGCATTTTATTTCAAAACATATTACATCGATATCATCTGTGATCATTTCTGTGATATTGAGAAAATTGACAAAACATATAAGAACATGCATGATATACATGCTAGTAATTCGATACTAGGGCACATGTCTTGCATAACGATACAATAAAACATTAAAACTAAATAATCTGGTTACTTGTTATTAAATTTATATTGCCTCTCGTACACAGGTATATCTTACTTTTTGTACTTTACAGTTACAATATTCGCAAGTATCACAGCAATTACAAAAAATCATTTGTATTTCTCAGGCATCATAGTGCATAGTTAATATGGGAGTGTATAAACGGTGAAAGCCGAGTTGCCACGAAATAAACAAGGTAATTTATATCGCGGAAACCCGGCTTTTGCGATTTACATACTTCCATTATATTTTATTTCTGAATCATTCAAGAAACAATAAACAAGATAATGTATGCAAGTCTAACAGAGACCAACATTATTGTCTGTTCGTCAATGTTTATACACGGTGTATGCAAGTAATGATGCATGTCGGAGGCGGACAAGTAGGCAAACATACAATGAAATACAGTGACGTTTGAACATATATGCATGTATCACATACCGGTATTTTCTATAATTTTATTGAGTGTATAATACGACGATCTGGCCTGCCAGTTTAGTTCTTGTATGGCGACTTTATTGTTGCTAGACTACCATGGATTAGACTAGACTGTCTCACATCATATCCTATTCTAATAACTAGATTGCCTCAGAGTATCCAGTGGTATTATGGTAGCTAGGCTGATCCACGACCAAAATAGTATGACAGCCAGACAGTATGCCCCAGACCATGGTATTGTAATAGGCAGACTGCCCCAGGCCATCTTATTAGACTAGCTTCACTGTCCCAGACCATCGTATTTCAGTCGCTGTATGTAGGCCAATACTCGCATACGTCTTGCATAATCATTGGTTGACAGGCAATAATTTTGGCCCCTATGTTTGCTACGTCTCCCCCATAAACAACCGATGTAGAATGCTATTTATTGCAAAAAATACAGAATGTAAATAATGTAAAAATGACCAATGAGTTCACAGACGAACACGTGAATGTTGAGACGTGAATGCAGAATGCCTTAGAACAACAGTTCTAACAACCGGGGTCGTTGGACAAAATTGTTTGTTGCAGGATAATAGTGGATACCATAATAGAAGAGAATGAAGCACTTTTTCAGTCTATTAACTGTTTGTGGGTTTCGTGGGTCAACTAATCAAGGGTAATGATTTTAGCCAAACTTACATTGTCCTGAATTGTAAGATAGGAGATTGATGTGTAAGAATTCCACGCGGTGGGTTTATGGGTGTTCAAAAATGCCAGACCACAGAAAATGAGTGGTAAAATTATCCAGAAGCTGACACGGAAACTTGAGAAAAGCGTAACTATTGCAATCCTGATGTCAAGGTTACATAACACCAGTGTGCAGACAATACATTCTTACAAATAAAAAAATACAGATAAATGGTATCAATATCATAATATGTGTTAGTATTTTGGTTTCTAACCGCCCTTTACATATGGTGGAGGGTCAGTAGTAACTCTAGGTATATAAACAACTCATTGGGTAACTAGCGGCAGCATACTATGGTTGAGTGCCATATTGTTGCATAGCATTAAGGTATGACGTCAGCTGCAGATCCTACAATGAAATATACAACCACATTTACTCACTGCTCATTAATTGAGTAATGATTAAAACACTCTCCCTATAAAGGTGTTGTTTTACATGCCAAGAAAGAATAGTCCCGTCGTTGACAAATGCATGATGGCTAGATTAACAAGCCATGCATGGCACAGTCCACGTTAGTTATCAAATTTAAGATATATAGTTTTGTTTATAGTAATATAGCTGGAATATAACCATGTCAGAAATATGATTAAGATTGTTTAACATTAAAATGACATTTGTATCTGATCGTCAAACAAGTACTTGCCCATATTAGGAGATATCGCTCTGGAACAGCATTAATTAAAACAAAATCAGCCATTTTGAATACATGTATATATCTATAACATGATGTATAACGAATATATAAAATTTGAACATAATCAGGCAAAGCATGTCAGAGATATGGCTCTAGAAGCCAATTCATTAAAACAAAATGGCCGCCAATCAGCCATTTTGAATCCGATCTGAAAAATAAAATGACGTGCATCAGAAACCCGTAATGTCTAATGTATGTACCAAGTTTGAACGACATTCGTCCAGAAATGCTTGATATTGGATGATTTTTTAGCACAAAAATGGCCACCATTCGGCCATTTTGAATAGGATTGTCAAAGCAATATATCTGTCTATCTATGACATTATGTATAATGAATATTAACAATTTGAACATAATCAGTCAAAGCAAGTCAGAGATATGGGTCTAGAAGCCCATTCATTAAAACAAAATGGCCGCCAGTCAGCCATTTTGAATCCGATCTGAAAAATAAAATTGTTCGCATTAAGGTCCCATAATGTCTAATGTATATACCACGTTTGAACAAAATCCATCTGTAAACAGCCGAGAAATGCTTGATTATGATGATTTTTTAGCACAAAAATGGCCGCCATTCGGCCATATTGATTCAGATCGTGAAACAAATTGACGTGCATGTGTATAATATCATGTATGATGTATGTATGAAGTTTGATTATGATTCGTCCAGGCAGTTCTAAGATACAGGTCCGGACGCACGCACAAGGGTCAAAACATAAGTCCCCGTTTTCGGACTGCGTCCGAACGGGGACTAATAAACGCAATTGTATTCACATCAGACCCGATTTAATGAATTCAGGATAAATGTACCATAATACGTTTGTTTTAAAGTATCTGCTGATTTTTAAATAAAATATTAAATTATAGCAGCTGACCCTTCACCCATTCTTGTTTATTTCAATTTGTGTGCCAGTATTTGTTTATTTGCTTCCTATTTTTGGCAATTATTCCTGTTATAGTCAGAAAGCGAGGAAATTTACTTAAACTCGTCTGAATGTATGTGTGAATGTATGTAAGTGTGTGGTAAATGCAATTGCAATGTGTTGCATGCGCAACGTGGAACACAAATAACTTTATATTACATTACAATAACCGAATGGCGGACAATTTAGTGCTGACAATTCACCAACACCAAGATATTTTGTAATTCCGGATTTCGTTGACTGTCTTGGCCGAAATGCAGTCGGAAAGTACATTGGCCAATTGCGAATTCAATGCATGTCCTTTTGTTTTGCATATCGGATTCAAAATAGCTGACTGGTGGCCATTAATGAATTCGAAGCCATATCTCTGACATGCCTTGACCTATCATGCTAAAATTTCACCCATGCTCCATATATTGCATGTGGACGTGTATTTATTTCACGTGGTGATTTGTATGTCTGCTTTCTACATATTTCATCAAAACGCTATTAGCTTTGACATCGAACAGCACCAGGGGCTCACTTTGACAAGTGAAAAAATTTTGGAATACAATCTGTATTTGGTCTATTGTGAATTCTCATATACATATATTCATAATTATTGCATGTTATTTGCAAGCAAGCACACTTACCAAAGCTAGGATGCTGGACATATTTTGTGCCAGTGATCACTGCATGTACAGCAGCAGCACAAACACGAGACAATACATAGTCCAAGTATACCATCCACGCCAATAATAATCCGCTGCACCACTGCAAATAAACATATATAACATATTTACATTCATATCCTTAAATATACAGGGCACTAGTACATGTAAGTGTAACTATGCACGATTGATTGAAATATTATTAAATATTTATTAAATTAATTGATGTCCAGGACCTTCAATTAATATTACATGAAGTGTATTAACCTCAGGGTCCCCAAACAATATAATGACAGACGTTTATGTCTACTAGACAAAATGACAGAAGAAATACTGTGCAGGAAAAAGATGTATATTGAGCAAATATATACAATTAGTTGGCTCAGATAAGTACGGTGATGGTTGCCGAGAATGACACTTTCTGGCACATTTAAATAATGAGTATACACAGATTTCAGTTTTATATAGCAGTGGGAGAGTATATGATTGATATCAATGCAGTTAATGGTGGCAAAAATTATAACGAATTATAAATATGGTGAACAAAATATGGTTGCAAAAGTCGCAACCTTGTGGAAAAGACGTTTTAAGTCAAACTTTGAATGTCTTATTATGTTGATGTTTCATTCCAATTTGGCCAAAGAACATCACGAGAAGACGATTTAGTCCTTATGTACCCGTAAAAGTATTAAGCACTTCCAGTTTTATGTAAATCTATTTTTTGTAAAATCAAAATGACGACCAGACCCCGTGACTGATCAACATTACTGATCATGATACACATGAAACTGTGACCACGAAAACTGCATACAAGAAAAGTTTGCATTTTGGGTCCGTTGTGCCGAAAATTCAAGAAGGCGATGTGACCAAATAAAATTATTCATGAGAAACAAATGCCCAAAACTGATTTTTTCCACTGTCCGAATAAGTTCAGTGGAGAAATGCGGCGAGACAAATTTCAAATCATAGAAAAAATGTAGCATTAGTATAAAACAATTGTTTAAAAGAAATCCAAGATGGCAGCCAAAGAAATAATGGAGCAGAACAAACTTTATAATAATGAGTTTTAAAGAACATATCGACCAATATAACAATATAAACACACGAATCGTCCCATACTAGACACGTTCATGATATTGAGGTATATAGTGACAATATATAGTAATAATTAATTTCGAAAAATGGTCGAATAATACTTGAGTATAACAACGAGAACGGACATTTCCCCCCTCATAAATCTTTTTCATCTAATTTATATGATGGCCAATGTAATACGTACGAATTATAGCAGCAATACTTGTCTATTAAGGTACCACAGCACCTGTCTCCACCATCAAGTAAACCGTTGCATTCAAAACTGTCATGCCAGTTACCACTCGAATCAAGGTAAGCGGCACAGGTGTCACTATTGTAACAAGATATAAAGGTGAACTGTATGACCTTGCTTTACTAGCGATATTAATACATACGTAAATACTAAACATGCCAATCTATAAGAGTATACAATATAGTATGTAATATACACGAGAACATGTAATTGTTAATATATTATGTTATTGGTCATTTTCACTGTACGAATATTGTTGTGTGTGTTGTAAATGCAATATTTCATTTTACTACAATCTAACAACATATATTATTATACACAATTATTTAAAATTGTATATTTTCGTCTGTATTGTATCTTTAAATTTGTACTACGAACCTCGCATAGCAGCAATACTTGTCTATTAAGGTACCACAACACGTGTCTCCACCATCAAGTATACCATTGCAATCAAAACTGCCATGCCAATTACCACTCGAATCAAAGTAAGCCACACAGGTGTCATCACAGGTTATTAAAGAAGCTGTGAAATGAAATTTGCGTGAAAATATGTAAAATAATCTCCAGCGTTATGTGAATGGAACCACCAGCATTAGTATAGCCTAACATGTAGGCGTACGTGGCGCCCTCACCGGCCGAACGACATCAGACTACACTAACGCCTGACAGAATAGTGTACGTCTCGTTGGCGAGATAAATACTAGTACTACGAATTCGTCGCCTACAATGAGTTAAAATAAATAATCATTTTGGTGTTCATGGTAACACAGTCAATCACAGCAGTGTTTGCATTGTCGGCAAAAATCACAGACTGTTTTCAACAAGATGATAAACATTGGGCGGAAATTTGCTATCACTTATCACACATTATGTAAACAAACAATTAACCTCTGCCGTGAATGGTTACTCTTTGATGGCTGTCAGTATCTGACGTTCCTGCAATTTGATTGGTACCGACAAAAAATCGTCGGGGCAAGTGAAAAACTACATCCTTCTGTCATGCGTGTGCTGGATTTGGAACACCACGGAGGGCGTAACTTACACGACCTTGTCAGGCGAGCATGAGCATTATGTATCACACAAGCAGTCTGTAGAATCTGCACAATACCTCGCAGCTGATACATGTTTAAATGTACCTACAATTAGGTAAATAAAATAACCAGCGCCAGGCATTGTAATAAATAAGGCCCGTAAAGCCTGGTCAATGAACTTTCGCGCCTTAGCCTTATACTCTAATATGTATTATATATTTCTAAACTCATTTCCGTTTCATAATTCTGTGAGTCCAATTTACCGTTCGGCGCACATTGATCTTTTTGGCAACAACCCTATAATCATATCACGTGACTTATAAGTCGTAGATTTTTCGAAAATGTTTCAATAATATGTCACAGAGTGTATGACACACTTATTCAAGGAATTGAAGAGAAGTCACAGTTCCCCTGAAAAAGACGGTCATAGATGGGTTTAGAACGAACACGTACAACCTGTGAAAGTGCAAATAGATTGTCGTTTGGATACTCAGACAGTACAGTAGCCGACTATACTAAATACGCTTGAATAGTCAAGTAACGGATGTCGATAAAGCAAGAATCATATTGATATCCAGAGAACAATTTTACTATTTGAACTATCGCCAGTCGGCTGTGATAGCTCCGCTGTTAGCAATGCACATTTCAATTAACTGCAGATATCATCAGAAAATGAACAATATGTATAGTATCAAAGCAATCAGACTTGCTGTTTTCAACAAGAATGTGAAAATATCACTTTTTACCAAAAATGACAAAAATATTCATCAAAATTAGATAATTGAAGATATCATCACGAAATGAACAAATCTGAGAGGTCTGCCTGTAGTACCTATGTATGTAATATCAAAGCAATCGGACTTTTTCAATCGCAGTTTTCAACAATAAGTTGAAAATATCACTTTTTACCAAAAATAACAAACATGTTCACCAAAATCAAAGAATTCAGGCTTGTAGTTTTCAAGAAGAAGTCGAAAAAGTAAAAAGTTGACACGTACGACGACGAACGCCGTACGACGACGGACGCCGACGGACAATCACCCAAGTGATAAGCTCCGCTCAACAAAGTCGACAACGGAGCTAAAAAGCATCAAATTTTTGGCGGGAAAATGATAACGCTGAAATGGTTAAATAATCCACAAGTTATAAATCTCAAAAACTGGTCTCAGAATACGTATCACAGTAGATTTAACACTAACTGCTAGTACCAGATTCTTTGAAAACATGACGCACTGTTGTATTGTAATAAGGATGACCTTCGTACACCTATATTGCTTTATATAGAGTGTATGACACATATGTTCAAGGAATTGCAGGGTAGTGGGAGTTCTACCGAAAAAGACGGTCATAGGCAGGGGTAAAACAAACACATACAACCTGTAAAGTGAAAATAGTTAACAAGATCGTCGTTTGGGTACCCAGACAGTACAGTAGTCACCAATACGCTGTCCAATACCAAACACTTTTGAACAGTTGATATCAGACTCATATTTTTGGTAATTATATATTACCTGAAGCAAATAAAACTGCCACAAAAACTCCGACTGAATGTAGAGCTGCCATGTTGCGTCGTCTTGGTAAAAGAGCAACAGTATGACGTCATTGGTGCGGAGTTCGTCAAGCTACACAAACCAGTATTGTTCGCAATTACTTTTGGAGGCGTGGCTGCCATGGCCACTGGAGGGCTGGCTATTGTGTAACTGTAGAGGCTGCTGTTTCTTATGTTAACGGATTTGTACACGCAACATTTTGAAGAGATACTATAAATAACAAATAACAACCATTTGTCATTGCGATGTTTTTGGCAGTCAGTGTAATTCTGAATAAGTATCAAGAGATGCGTTAATCCAAATTCAAACTAAGTTGATACGATATGCAAAAATGAAATCACAGCTACATTTCGATTCTGTTTGTAACCTAAGTTCCTTCAGATTATAAAAAGCAATGTTATTTCAAAATAGTAAATTAAAATTCTCCTTTCATTCTTATTCCAGTATATGCTGGTATATTATTCTATACGTATCGTGGAAAAAATCTTTTGAAACATATTTCCATCCTGTACTAAAATACGATTTTTGTATCCATCGCCTACAGTTATTATTATATCAACAAACCTGTGTTGCCAAGAGGGTGGAAAATTCACATTTTTAAAATCAGCGGTAAGACTAGAGCATCTACATTTTCCAGATAATTTATAGTATGGTGCAACGCCACTGTATGTGCACACGGACTCCAAATTAAAGATGATCTCCTTGTATGACTTTTGTTAACAGGGTTATCTATGGTTGATTATGTTATTTCCACTTTTTCATGATTTATGCCTTTTGTATAAATTAAAATGCATACCTAGCTGGCTGGCTAAACACATCAACTGGTAAGCTGCTTGCTGAAAGTGGTTCAACTCGCCCTTGAAACCTTCTGTAATAAATCAAGGAAAAAGCCGTAATAGTAAGTGTGACAATACCACAACTACCACTCACCTCAACATGGAGGGGTCATAAAGGACTGGACAGAAAGTACAGGAGGGGTTACAGGTTGGTGTTTTTGGGGGTCACTGATTTTCGTGCAAGTGTTGAGGGGAGGGTTACAGTAATCTGTACAGGCATAAAGATGGGGGTCACATTTTTGTGTGCAACGCAAGCCTCATGACACCACATTAAAAGTAGCCGAGATGTTATGCAGTCTGATTGACTGTGTTGCCTAAGCAAACACCTATTCTTATTATTCATTCAGCAGTTATATTTACATTGAATCACATGTAAAAAAAAAAAAAACTGTTCTAATAATGAATCATCAGACAGTGGAAATGAAAGATTCCAGCCGGTACTATACACCGGTTGCACACCTATATTCCGACATCCCTATATTCCGACATTCCTATGTTCCGACATCCCTATATCCCGACACCCCTATATTCCGACACCCCTATGTTCCGCATCTCCTATGTTCCGACATCCCTATATTCCGACATCCCTATATTCCGACATTCCTATGTTCCGACATTCCTATATTCCGACATTCCTATGTTCCGACATCCCTATATTCCGATATTTCTATGTTCCGACATCCCTATATTCCGACATCCCTATGTTCCGACATCCCTATGTTCCGACATTCCTATAATCCGACATTCCTATGTTCCGACATCCCTATATTCCGACATTCCTATGTTCCGACATCCCTATATCCCGACA